TCTAGTGCCAGCCCTTTGGTAAAGAGGGTGAGAAACACTATAGAATTCAAGAAAAAGTTTGTAGAAAGATACGAAAGTGGTGATGGTAGAAGGTGGTTGTATGGGCCAACAGGTCTGCTGTAGTGTTCCTGCATTTTTATGTACACCAGCCAGGGTACTTCCCCCACATACCAGCCAGGGTACTTCCCCCACACACCAGCCAGGGTACTTCCCCCACACACCAGCCAGGGTACTTCCCCACACACCAGCCAAGGTACTTCCCCACACACCAGCCAGGGTACTTCCCCACACACCAGCCAGGGTACCTCCCTACACACATGAATGGATTTGAGTGGGGCTTGTGCATGAGTGAATAGAATTATCAAAGCTTATTGCTTGGTAAGCATTGAAAATTGGGTTGGGCAAATATGGATTCTGTTAGTGGGATGGTTTGTGAAGGACTTGCCTAGTATGGGCCAACAGGCCTGCTGCAGTGTTCCTGCTTTCTTATGTGCAAACATTTATGGATGAACATCACCCTAACAATGCTGTTGCAGGCTGTGCTGGCAACATCTACAATGACAATGTTGTGTCCCATTTTAGGGAAATCTTAGAGATGCCAGAAACAGAGCTCTCTGGAAAGATATTTAGTTGTACAGGTGTGCAGTGACTCTCAAGCTGGTCCTAGTGGCATTAAAAAACAAAGAAGGGAAGTACCCCATGATAAGGACTTGGTATCTGAAGTCTTTATGGAAGGGGATTCCCCTTCCAAATAACAGTACACCTCCATCCTCTTCCCTCCTCCCCTCTCATCACTCATCAATAAGTCATCAATAAAGGTAAGTGTCATTTTAGTAATGTTTTACTCGGCATGTCTCATTGTTTTCTGTGTAGGGAAATGTATATTTCACGTAAAAAATTTTTTGTTAAATACTTTTGGGTGTCTGGAACGGATTAATTGGATTTCCATTATTTCTTATGGGGGAAATTAATTCGGATTAAGTCAAATTTGGTATAAGACTCTCTGGAACGGATTAATTACGCTATCCGAGGGTTCACTGTACGTGGGTACAGATCATTAGTAGTGAGACAGATCAAAGGTGAACCACTTTGGAATGGACACATTCAGCAAGCACCAAAAAACTCACCTAAGATGATGTTTTGGGGTAGTTTTACTGCTAAAGGTCCTGCATGGATTGTTCCTACTGAGAAAATGATGAACAGTGACAAATAAGAGGGCAATCCTGGCAACTCATTTGCTTCCCACTGTGGATAGAGACTTAATTCATAAAGAATGCATTTTCCAGCAGGATCTTGCTCCATGCCACACTTCCAGAAAAATGCTGACATTCTCTGAAGAGAGTGGGTTAAGCGTTTTAAATTGGCCTGAAAACTCTATTGAGGTCAACCTAAATGACTATGGGCAATAACATAAGAACATAAGAGAAAAGGAACACTGCAACAGGCCTACTGGCCCATGCTTAAGCCAATGCCTTAACCTAGTTAGGTCAGGTCCTGTTCACTTAAGGAAGGAGCACAGCATCTGACCTAGTATTGGCCATACTTGTCTTACTCATGGATATCTCATGGAGAGGCACCCTGCTCCTCTCTGTGAGAATTGCCAAGCTCCATTATCAGTCAGCCACATTCTGTTGGACTGCCCACTTTATCAACGAGCACGCAGAATTTACCTCCGTCGTCGTCTTCGCTCCACTGCTCTCTCTTTACCTTCCCTTCTCGCTGATGGACCCACCTTTCATCCGGACTCTCTCATTGACTTTTTGACAACAACTGACTTGCTTCACAAATTCTGATACCTTCAGCCCTTTCTACTTCAATCTCTTGCTACCCTCTACCCCCGTACTATCCCCTGCCCCGCTGTTTTCTGTAACCTACTGATCATCCCTCCTCCCTTCTGCCATCCAATACCCTCGCTTCCTTCCCTACCCTGCAGCGCTGTATAGTCCTTGTGGCTTAGCGCTTCTTTTTGATTATAATAATAATAATAATAATGACCTAGTAGCACAAGCTAGTCAGATCAAACTCACACCCACTCATGTAGTTTTAAAACTAGGTTAGATAAGTACATAAAGTCTTAGCCTCTGTAACGGTACTCGGGAGTTTGTTCCACTCATCCACAACTCTTATTACCAAACCAGTGCTTTCCTATATCCTTCCTGAATCTGAATTTTTCTAGCTTAAAGCCATTGCTGCAAGTCCTGTCTAGGCTAGATATTTTTAGCACACTATTTACGTCCCCTTTATTCATTCCTGTTTTCCATTTATACACCTCAATCTTTTTTTGTTAGCACACTGGCCAATTCCCACCAAGGCAGGGTGGCCTGAAAAAGAAAAACTTTCACCATCATTCACTCCATCACTGTCTTGCCAGAAGGGTGCTTTACACTACAGTTTTTAAACTGCAACATTAACACCCCTCCTTCAGAGTGCAGGCACTGTACTTCCCATCTCCAGTACTCAAGTCCAGCCTGCCAGTTTCCCTGAATCCCTTCATAAATGTTACTTTGCTCACACTCCAACAGCACGTAAAGTATTAAAAACCATTTGTCTCCGTTCACTCCTATCAAACACGCTCACGCATGCCCGCTGGAAGTCCAAGCCCCTCGCACACAACCTCCTTTACTCCAACCTTTCCTAGGCTGACCCCTACCCCGCCTTCCTTCCACTACAGACTGATACACTCTTGAAGTCATTCTGTTTCACTCCATTCTCTCTACATGTCTGAACCACCTCAACAACCCTTCCTCAGCCCTCTGGACAACAGTTTTGGCAATCCCGCACCTCCTCCTAACTTCCAAACTACGAATTCTCTGCATTATATTCACACCACACATTGCCCTCAGACATGACATCTCCACTGCCTCCAGCCTTCTCCTCGCTGCTACATTCATCACCCATGCTTCACAGCCATATAAGAGCGTTGGTAAAACTATAGTCTCATACATTCCCCTCTTAGCCTCCAAGGACAAAGTTCTTTGTCTCCACAGACTCCTAAGTGCACTGCTCACCCTTTTCCCCTCATCAATTCTATGATTCACCTCATCTTTCATAGACCCATCCGCTGACACGTCCACTCCCAAATATCTGAATACATTCACCTCCTCCATACTCTCTCCCTCCAATCTGATATCCAATCTTTCATCACCTAATCTTTTTATCCTCATAGCCTTACTCTTTCCTGTATTCACTTTTAATTTTCTTCTTTTACATACTCTACCAAATTCATCTACCAACCTCTGCAACTTCTCTTCAGAATCTCCCAAGAGCATAGTGTCATCAGCAAAGAGCAACTGTGACAACTCCCACTTTATGTGTGATTCTTTATCTTTTAACTCCACGCCTCTTGCCAAGACCCTCGCATTTACTTCTCTTACAACCCCACCTATAAATATATTAAACAACCACGGTGACATCACACATCCTTGCCTAAGGCCTACTTTTACTGGGAAATAATCTCCCTCTTTCTATATACTGTTCACTTATATGTTTCACTGTAAACACCTGGTCCACACACCCCCTACCTTTCTTAAAGCCTCCTTGTTCATCTGCTATCCTATTCTCTGTCTTACTCTTAATTCTTTCAATAATAACTCTACCATACACTTTACCAGGTATACTCAACAGACTTATCCCCCTATAATTTTTGCACTCTCTTTTGTCCCCTTTGCCTTTATACAAAGGAACTATGCATGCTCTCTGCCAATCCCTAGGTACCTTACCCTCTTCTATACATTTATTAAATAATAGCACCAACCACTCCAAAACTATATCCCCACCTGCTTTTAACATTTCTATCTTTATCCCATCAATCCCAGCAGCCTTACCCCCTTTCATTTTACCTACTGCCTCACGAACTTCCCCCACACTCACAACTGGCTCCTCCTCACTCCTACAAGATGTTATTCCTCCTCAATCATATTCCCCCTAATTCTATGCCTTTCTAGAGAGTGCAGATTCAGGGCCCTCAGTCTATCCTCATAGGGAAGATTTCTGATACATGGGATCAACTTTGTCATCCTCCTTTATATGTTTTCCAGTGTATTTACACCCATTCTGTAATACGGTGGCCAGAACTGAGCAGCAAAATTTAAATAAGGCCTGACCAAAGATATATAGAGTTGAACAACCTGAGGACTTCTATTACTTATACTTCTTGATATGAAGCCAAGGATTCTGTTAGCTTTATTGTGAACACTTATGCACTGTTGTCTTGGTTTCTGATTACTGCTAACCAGAAGTCCTAAATCCTTTTCGCAATCAGTAAAATTAAGATCTACGTGGTTCCTGTTCAACAGTGGTCGATTCTATGTCAAAGTGTGTAGTAATGCTTATAAAAGCAAAGGGCAGTCATATCTCTTATTAAATCAGTTATCTGTCATACTGCTGTGCATTTTTCAAATAATCATTAATTTTCCAAACAAATGTCTTATTTCATTATTGTCCCAATTAATATGCACACTACTGTACCGTAATATTTGCCACACTAGTAGCAGTAACTAAGATAAGATGCTATGACTGACACACTATTTTATAATGCTGCATGTCTTATGTGTAAAGTGTAAATTCCATGTAGAAGCAACTGATGAATGAAATATTATTTAGTGAATAAAATTAGAATAAATACTAAAAGTAAATCCTAAAAAAATTGCTTTAAACTGTTTATCATATGTATTGTATTTCAGAAGGTTTTAAGGTTTTTCCTTCTTTTTATCATACAGTATAGCTACTGAGTACTGTTAATTTATCAACCAGTTTTGATGAAAATTTTCCCTGATTTTAGTGAACTATTAATTTTTTTTTATTCTGATCACAGCATTAGTTTTGCAGTAGTACAATGATAAACATTTCTTTATTTTCAAATTTATGAAGCAGATAATTATCAGGTCTCTGTGTTCATCCCTACACAAGTACATACATACAACAAACTGGTAATATAGGGAGTTGTATTCCCACTAGGCCATGTCCAAAGGTATTTATCCTGCTATACTTGTTTTACTTACTGCCTGAATGCTGATATTGTATTTTCATAATTTTCTCCAGCACCTGAAATCAAAGAACTAGGTCATAATAAATAATACAGCATATTAATCTTAAAACGATACCTAAAACATCAGAAAGTTAAAGCTCTCTTATTATAGTATATACAGTAGGACCCCCTCATATCCATGAGGGATATGTTCCAAGGACCTGCCATGGATACTAAAACCCTGTATACAAGTCCTTTATACATCTATTATGGAGAATTAACACTTTACTGATGGGAAGAACTTCATGGCTTCTCTTAAGCTTTGAAGAACTGCCAGCTTCTCTTTGTGCTTTGGGGCCATTATTATGCAAAATTAAGATGTAGTTTTGCACCACAGTAAACTGTGGATAACAAGCTGCGGATACCGAATCAGTGGATACGGGGGTTCTACTGTATAATCCAACAAATTGGGAGTTTGAGTTTCGTTTAAAAGCATACTTTAAAATGGTGCAATTATTATATATGATGACATTTGTTGAAAATAAGAAATTTATTAGTACAATGTCATTAATATTAAATATTAGACTATTATTATTATATACACAAGGTGCAAATCCCAGATGGGTTAGTTAAATCTTTGAAAGCATTGTTTTGATTCAAGATCAGATACTGGATAAGCAATTTCCTTGAAAATATAGTGACAGTAAAAGGCTTGCTAACTAATAACCCATATTTAATGTATGTATAATTATCCATATTTAGCCAATAATTTGTTAAAAAAAAAAAAAGCTCCACATTCACCATAAGTACAGTGGAAACTTGGTATGCGACCAACTCCCTACTTGAATAAAGCTCAGCACTCGACCAAAAAAAAATAAAAACCGCCAAAAACATGCGGGTAAACCATTTCGTGTTTTTTTCCCAAAAACCTTTTTTGGTTTTTTTTTTGTATTTGTATAAATAATTTCACCTTTGGGGACTACGAAGTTTAAATAACCCCCAAACCCAAAACAAAAAAAATGGTTGGGAAAAATTGTTCGTTTTCTAAAAATGGAGCGGAAACGGGAAACCACCCTTCGGGAAAAAGAATTAAGGTCGCATACCGGGTTTCCCCAATTTTTGGGGTTTTTTTACTTTTAATCAAACAAATTTTGGGGTCAAAAGAAACCCCCATCTCATAAATTTTCCAAAATTAGAGGAATAAGAAAAAATTTTTGGGGCCCCCCCTTTTTTTTTTTTATTTTTTCTCCGTTTTTTTTGGGGCAAATGTTTTTTTGTTTTTATATTGGTGGTAGGGATTTTTTGGGGGAAAATTGGGTATTTTTTACTTTTCCCTTTTTAAAAGAAGAAAAGCTGGGGGAATAATAAAAATAAAAAATTATTTTTTCCCACCCTGTTTGAAATTTGTAAAAAAAAAGGGGTGAATGACTTTTGGGGTTAACATGCGGGAAACCCCCCTAAATATGCGGGAGCTTTTTGGGGCAAACTTAAGACAATTTAAAAGAAAATAAAAAAAAAAATAACAAAGTAATTTTAACTTTTTATCACTTGGGTGGTGAAAAGTAAAAATTTTAGGGGCTACAGTAAAATACAAGAGAATTTAAATTTATCCTATTATTTCTTTGCTATTTTGGCTTTTTTTAAATTTTAAATTTGGATAAAAAATTCGGGTTTTGGGATTAAAAACTAAAGGAACACAATAAATTTTTTAAATGTTTGGGGGGGATTACGCAAACCTAAAAGAAAGTTTATATTGTTTCATGCCCTTTAAAGAATATGGCAATGTAGTTTTACATTCAAGGGTTGCGGGATTCAGGGAGTTTGGGGTTGGTTTTTTTTAATGGTAGTTTTAAAAATGCTGACTGAGACAAGGGTTATGGAAAATTCTGGAAAAAGGGGTTTTCCAGTTTTTGGGCTCTTTTATGTGAAATGAAATTTTTAAAAGACTATTATTATTGAAATCAGGGGGTTTGCGCTAAATGGGGTTGGGTTTTGGGGACAGGGCATGTGGGGGGGGGGGGGGAATTTGGAAGGTATTCAGACTCAATTCGGGGAAAACCGGGCCGAACCTAATTCCCCCCCAATCCCCCTCCCCTACCCCCATCCCCCCCTTTCCCCCCTTTTCCCCCTTTCCTCCCCCTCCCCACTCCCCCCTTTTTTCCCCTTTCCCCCTTTTTGTCCTTTGGGTTTTTCTCCCACGGCACGCTGGGTTTCCTAGGTAGGGGAAAGGAAAAACCGGGGTCGACCCCCATTCCGTTGATTTTTTCTTGGCGGGGGGCGTAGTTTGCCGGGGAAATCTGGATTCCCTGGGGATGCCCCGGGATCCCCCCCGGTATCCCGGGGTATTTTTGGGGTTTGTTTTTTGGGGCGACGGGTGTTCCTGGAACCCAACCTTTCGGTTTCCCGGGGGTTGGGGCTGAAGGGGGTATGCTTTGTGGCGGATACCCCGGGCCGCCCTCCCCTTTTTTTCCACCGGGGTTTTAGCTCGGCAGAGGGTAAAGGTTGCTACCCCCAATTGCTGGTTTCTGGCAAAAAGGGTGGGGTTTTATGCAGGGGTTTTCCATGCTCCCCATCCCGCTACTAGGGGGGTTTTGGGGAGTCCTTTTTGGCGCGGGGGAGATTTCTGGCCCTTTCTTTCCTCCTAGGAACTATCCCTCCCCCCGGGCCCCCCTTTTTTTTTTTTTTTTTTTTATTTTTATTTTTTTTTCCCTTCTTTCTTTTTTTTTTTTTAAAAAAACAAAAAGGGAAAGAAGTAACCAAACCCAAAGGCCAGCCCTAGTCCATGAACCTGGTCCCCCGGGGGGCCCCCTTTTTGGATACCGCACCCCGTTCGGGGCCCCCCCCCTCGTTTTTGGGACCCCCTCTTCAAAAATTTCCCTCATGCCTCTGTCCCTATTCCCGGTGCTTTTTCCCTCACCTGTTTCAGGTACTGAGGCCTCGACGGGACCCCTTGGGATTTACCCAGACCTTCGCCTCCTCTGACTATGTTTCCCGGCCTCTCCCCTACGGGGCGGCAATTTTAAAATCGCCCCCCTTTCCCAAAAAGTCGGACCAACCCCGGTTTCCCACCCTAAACGTCAAGGGACAATTCCCTTTGCGATGATACTTCCCCAACCTTCACCTTCTCGTTTTTCTCAGGAAAAGATCGACACCCCCTTTTCACTTACCTTTCCAGCTCAGTTTCAGACTAAACCCAGTGGGACTAAAATTCTTCATTTTAACGACCAATTTTCCTTTCCTTTATTTGCCCTTACTTTTTTGAACCCTAGAAATTTTGGAAAAAGGGAACTCCTACGCCAGTTGGTAAAGATATTTTTTTTCCCATGCTTTTAAGAGTTTTTCGCGCTTTCATTACCGTACGGGAATGCTACCCAGGCCCCGGCATCTCCTTTTTCCCATATAAAAACTTTTTCCTGTAACCCTTTTAAAACATCTTTCCCCCTAAAATTCTTTTTAGGGGGAAACCGTTTTTCTTCCCCCCCAAAACCAAAAGTTCAAAAAAATTTTTCCAGACATGGGGAAACGACTTCTAGAACAGCGGGAATTTCCAAGATCCCCCAAACCCCTAAAGGTAGCATTACGTTCTCCTGCCCTTTGGGCGGAGGGGATACCCTAGCAATGGGGCTCGTTTAACTTTTGACAGCCGAAAAACCCCCACCCCTAAAGTTTATATGGCAGGACATCGGTTAAAATTTGGGAAAAGGTAAACCCCAAAACACCAAAACCCATGTAAAAATTTGCTGGCGTTTTGGGCCCTTTCCAGCAAAATTATTGCAGATTTTTCCCCGAAGGGCCCAGTCTTTTGGGGGCCCATGGACCATTCTAATACTCTTGAAATCGTCTCCCTTTGCCTTAACTGCATGAGGCTAAACCCTTGTACTCTCCCCGGGTTGTCGGGTCTATTTAAACGAGCGGGGAAACCCGGGTTACCTAAAAGAGACAAAAGGGTCCCCCCTTTTTGGCCATGGGCAGATTTCTCATCTCCGCCCCCAAAAAGGGGAGACCCCACGTGTTTCTTTTCCCGGTGTTTCCAAAACGTCCCCCCACTTCGGGGAAAACCCAAACTTCCCCAACCCCCTCTGGGGTTTCCTTCTCTCCCATAATCACCCCTGTATTTTAACCCCTTTTGCCCCCCTCGGCTCAGACGCCCCTATTTCAAGGGCCTCATCTTAACCGCTTTTTTTCCGAGTTCTCTCTTACAACCCCTCAGTATCGACAGCCCCTCTTTACGACACCTTTTCCCCAATCGCCCTCTACTTCTCAAAAGCCCAAAAAAAGGTCCGGAAACACCCCCCCCCAATCTTCCCCCCCTCCTCTTTTTAAAAACCCCCCCCGGGTCTCTTCCCTAGTTCTTCCCCTCTCACGGGTTTCAGTTACAAGTGAAAGGGTTCACCCCCCTCCTCGTAATTCCCTTTTCCTTTCCCCTGTTCCCCCCCAAGTTTTTTCCTCTTCTGCTCCCCTCCCGGTTTCCCTGTCTTTCTGTCCCCTCCCCACGTTTCCCCCAGTTCCCCCACCCTTTCCCCCCCCCTCCCTTTGGGTTTAACGGGCCCCAATACATTTCCCAATTCTTTACTCACCTCCCCCAAACCAAATTCCCAATATTGTCTCCCATACAACATCTCTGAATTTTTAAAACACTTGAAGCAATCTCTGAATTATTGCGGAAAACCAAAACCAAATCAATGGACACTGACCCAAATTTCCCGCTCTTTCTCTCTCCTCTGCCCCCTTTCTGCGAAACCCTTTTTTCACAGGGGCACCGTTCCTCCCGCTGCTTAACTTTTTTCCACCCCTCCGCATGGGGAATTTTTTCAAAACCCTCCTAGCCCCGTGGGAAAAACCCTTTCCCCTGCGGATTTCAAAAACTTTATAAACCCCCCCTTCATGGCCTTTTTTACGGGGAATAAAACGTGGCCTCGGGGGTAATCGGGGGGGACCCTTAAAAGATTTTTAACCCCCCAAAATTCCCCCCTTTGGTTTTTTTTGCTTACAGGAAAAAAAAATTTTAACTCTGCTGTTATTTCTCAACATCTCAGGCTAAAATTTTTATTGTATTCTTCAGACCCTTTTTCCCCTG